ACAACTGTGTTTGATTTTGCTATACTATTGCTAATCATTCAAGTATACTGTTCAACTTTTTAAAAGTTAACTGTACGTGTGTGTAACTGCTTAGAAAAATCAGCCGTATATAATCCATGTTAACATTTTTTCAATTCTTTTTTGCTTTTCGTGAACGAACCTTGAGTTCCATTCTGCTTTCAAAACGCTGTTAAACCAAACATTTTATTCAGGTTCTTTATTTCAGTCTTTCATTCTTGAAAAGATTTGTGGTTTTTTAAAGTGTCGTCATGCATTTTAATTAAAATACTTTTAGTAGCATTTTTTGAGGAGTACTTTGAGCCTTTTGTAGCAAAGCTTAGGTGAGAAGAAAAGGGGAGAAAGTGCTGTCCTTGGCTTTCACAAGTTATAATAATAGTGATAGCTGAACATTGTAGGATTAGTAAACATCTAAATCTCGAATATTAACTGCAGTAGGTTTATAAATAGTTTGGTAAAACAGTGGAATCCATGTAGCGCGAATATCGTTGCAGAGTTTTTGAAGACATTTTAACACTGCTGTTACTGCTATTGTGTTTTTCTATGTGACATACTAAAAAATTTGGTGAAAAGTGTTTATTGCTTCTTGCCTGATGCAGCGATTTTATTTTTTATATAAGTTGTTATTAACTTGAAAGGCCTAGTTTCAAAGTCTTTATATTCGGATTTTTCTACTTGTACTTGATCGCCCTTCATACGGTTCAATAAGGTTACACAAACGATCGCTGCTGAAAAAAGATACGTAATTACACATATGTTGGATATAGATTGTTTTAGGAAAAATGTACAGTGACAGTGACTTTCTTCCTCATAAAATGCAGTTAGACATAATCATTGATTCAACAGAAAGTCAAAGAAGATGGTGTTACACCTTATACAAGATAAATAAATCGTCAAGTAATCATGACAGTACCATGTCCCTAATCTTCCTTATCTTCTTTAATATTCAACACCAATTTTGTAAAAAGTCTATTTTCTGCACTCTTCTAATCACTAAGCCTAACTAAAAAACAATATTTCAATCAATGATTTTAGACTACTTAACACTTTTCAACAGTAACATAAATACGAAATATTCTTTCTGCTTAACTTTTACTACTGTCTACAAGTAGAACGATGAAAAAGTATTACCTTTGATTCCAGCTCGATGGGTCATCGCAGCAAAGCAAGTTGATTCCATTTCAATATTACGAATGCCCTCAGCATACAGTTTTTCCAAGAAGGCAAACTTATCTTTCTTTGTATACTCACAAAAGGCTCCATCCAACCTGGCTTGTCCTATAAAATAGTACTTTTTAGATCGCTGTGGAAAAGTTTCATCGTAACCACAATTATTCTGAAATATCTTGTTCATGTTCGATGTATTTTTATAGTTTTTTTGGACAATGAGATAAAAATGATGTTCGAACCTTTTTTCCAAAAACTTTTACAGAACTCAATAGAAAATGGAGCAGTAATGTAGAAATAAATTTTGACAGTTATAATGTTGTAGCAGGGACATCAGAGTATTTTACAAACAACAGTTAGAAGTTTCAGAAATTTGACTCGTAATTTAGCTAATTACTAAAGTTAATAGTGACTTCATAAGCCGCAAAACAAGTTGATTATTTTAGATCGCCCATACAATGGCCTTTAGCAGCACGCTAAACTCATACTGATTTTTTGGTGGTAAATTGGTCTATAATTTTTTTGCAATTAATTGCCTCTGTAAAACAACTGCTATCTAACTAAACATCTCATCGTAAAATTTTTTATAAGTCTTGCGGTAGCGAACAAATCAAGTCACAGTTTTTCAAACAGCTACCGTAGCATCAGTCTGCTATCAATTTCTGAAAAATTGGAAATTATATTAAAGTGCATTTTTTTGCTTGAAATAATTGTCAACTTGCCTTCATAAAAGTCATCAGCACACAGCGTTTTACCGCAATCAACAGGAAGTTTAAGTTCTTTGGCTAAAGCAAGCAGTTCATCCTTTAGCTCTTGATCAAGCACAGTCGGCCGAAGAGTCTAAATGTCAACAAGTAAAGCAATTAAAATTCAAAAATTCGTCCAAAGTTTTTTTTTTTAAAATTAAAAAAGTAACACAGTTTTTATTTATTTATTTTTTTCTGGAGGCACCCTATACAAATACCAAATTGCAGCAAGTAATACTACTTAAAAATTTTAATTCAAAAATCAAGTTACTTTTGTCCTGAATAGATAAAAAAGTGAACATTAAGTTGAGGATTTACAAATCAGTAAGCACGCATATATACCTACCTTTTTTCCCATGATATACTGTATATGATACTCTTGCATTTCACCATTTACTGCACCACTTGAAATCAATACTGTGCCCGGCGGCACACCCAAGCCACCTGAGGTACCTAGTCGGAAGAAGGTTACATTTTTAGCATTGGCATAGTGCAGCAGTTTGATGATTTCAATAATCATAATGCTGAGTGATGGCCCACCCATTCCATGCTGAAAAAGTGCTAACTGATTGAGGAAATTACGATATTGCCCCACTTTTTTAGGGGACTGACCAAACGGTCGGTAGGTAACCAAAATAATCAAATCACATTCTGAGATAGAAGTCAACTAGCCAAAAACTTAGTCTTTGTACTTCAAGAAAAAGGTGTTAATTTTCTGCAGTTGTTTAGCATTATGTAAAAATGAAATTCTTACATTAACCCATAATACTGGTCCAGTTTTGTACAACACATAGCGATCTGAATTAGATAAATTTTTTCCAAATTCTAATCCCACATCTTTGGCAAACACTTCAGCATAGTATGCAAGTCGTGTTGGACTTCCTCCGCAGCATACAAACTAAAATTGAAACATCTCAACCAAAAATGATAACACAAAAAAATTCTTTTGGTACACTAAACTGCTTTGCGAAAAAATTTTTTTCCTAGATATGTGGCCAATGTTTAAAAACTAGTGGTCAAAAATTGAAAGTGTAAATAAGAAGTAGAAAAGGAAAAAAAATGAAGAATTAAATAAACAATAAATAAACAAATTTAAAACAAAAGTACACAGTTCACTAAAAAAACAAGAAAAAAATTACTATTTATTTATTGATAACCGCAGTTAAGATTTTAGATAAAACTACACAAAAGAAGGAAGAAGATTTGTCGCTAAAGTTTCATTGTACTTTCTGTTTATGCACTGCTGAGAATTGGGAAGACGGATTTCGCAAAGAGCATGGGAATTTTTGGGCTAACTTTGTCACAACAGGAAAAAGCAAGCGGTCAATCAACAAAAAATAGGATAAGTCAATTCCTATAAATCGTAAATAGCGTCTGCGACCAAAAAAGTTTTTCCATCTAGAACAACTAACTTTGAAAGCAATGGCACCAAAAAAAACATTAATTACAGCCAGGAGAACAACATTTATTTCCTTGAAAATTGACAGACGAGAAGGGCCATTACAAAAGAGAAAAAAAAATAGAACAAACGTGAAAAGAATGAATTTCTGCAACATATAGAGCAATAAACTTACTTTGAAAAAGTTTTAAACCTTGACGACAGCATACAAGACAAGTCTGATAATGCTTAGCATTCAAAACTTGAGAATTATCAGAAAAAAAGAGAACGCCTGAATAGACTCAAAAATTTTGCTAGAAGTTTGGCACAAACAGTGTACAGACAAAAATTTTGTGATATTTTTGAAATACAGTTTCAGTGGTCAAAAAAAAATATTTATTTCATTTAAATATTACGTTTTTTCTTCGATTTTACAATATACGTAGTGTAAATTATTGAAATAGCCCGCATATCAGCTGCTTAATCTATCTTTTTTACTGACTAAATTACGATGATATGCTACCCAAACAAACAAATTTGCATTAAAAAATTTTGATAAACCAACAGTTTGCTTTTAGCTTCTAAAAATATCATTTACTATATCCAGAAAAAAATTGTTTTTTTCCTAAAGCTTTTTCAAAATTTATCCTACAAAATGAGACTTTTTTACCTTAACATCACCAAACATTTTTGGCAAATCGACGGCACTTCGCAGAATTCCGAAATGATACAAGTGATCCTCGCTTTCCTGAGCGAGTATCGGATTCATCAACGGTATTGTACCATTTTCTGCGTCTGCCGACATTCTGCGAAGATTTTGGTTCTGCAACTGCTTGATTATATTACTCCTGTAGCAATTGAGGAAATATGCCCTGAAAAAGTACACTAACAACAATTCCATGTATTAAAAAGGAAAATTCCGCTTTTCTCATCATCGTCTATCCTTGTTCATTAGAAGATGCCAAACGCATATAACAACAACAAAAAAAATAAATAAATAAAAGTAGAAATTGAAACAAAAAAAAAACAATTATACCAATAATAGTTACTGTTGTAAAAAAAAGTTGGAAATAAAATGCAAGTGAAGACAGAATAGGAAATATAAAACTAAGAGAGCAAACAAATGAAAATTTTTGAATACACCTATTTATGAATACAGTGAGAAGAACAATTAGTAGAGAAACAGCTAGAAAAAGGTTTTTCTGTTTTATTTGGAAAACTGAACTGAAGGATGGAACTGACATAACTGACAAAGAAAACTGCATGTGTTCAGACGGTTTTTATATAATATCTAAGCATCTCCCCTTCTCCCGCCTCCACTGATTCTTTCCCCGTTCCCCCTATTCCTCCCGTCTCCGCCCAACCACCCCCTCTAACCTCTTCCACCACATCACCTACCACACAATTGCATCAGGTTCTTGTGGTTTAAACTATTACGCATTTTCCTACTTCATTTTTTTTTCTCTTATTTTAAACGACAAAACCAAAGCACTCTTCAAAGCAGCAACAGCACTGCAGTCTACCGTCGTCGTCGTCGTTGCCGTTGTCTTCATTCTTCGTTTGTCTCATTGTGTTTGTCTTGGAGAAAAAAAAAAAAAAGATTGCATGGCATCTGCATTCTAACCAGCATATGCTATTTGAAAACATTTTCTGCGCTATCATCTTTGGCCACATAATTTTTGTTCCTTATCCAAGTACAGTTCTAAGTTGAACTTCTTTTGATCCTGAGCAGAGTTCGATTAAAAAACAAACAAACGAAAAAAAACATCAAATTTTCAAATTCTTCTCAACTCCTTTTTCTTTCAAGTTTAACGAAACTGTCATCGCTGAAATGTGATCAGTGATATAAAACAAGAAAAAAAATAAAGCGATTCATCTATATGGTAAGAAACAGGTTTCCCTCTTAATACTTCAAACAGTTATCCAGAAAAAAATTTTACTTGATCAATACTTTACATATATAATTTACATCTTTTATTTTTGTTTTTTCTTATTTCTTTTCCATGTGCTGCTACCGCTACTGCTACTGCTCCTGGTGCAGTCGCTGTCATTAATGCTTCAAAATCTGGTACCCATGAATTGTTGAACGAATCATGATTGAGAAATGGTAAAAATAGAGGCATTTACAAGTACCCCGGGAAACTTTTTTAGCATTCACTTTTTTTTGTTTATAACGTAAAAAACAGGAAACTGGCTACTGTAAAACAGCGCCAACCTATACCTTGTAAAGATTTTTTTCTATAACAAAAAACTATAGTAAGACAAAAATTTCACTCCCGGAAGTTACATGTCACCAACCTCACTAAGACTATCCAACAAAGCCGTTAAAAAAACCAAAGGACTTTATTGGTGTCTGATAAAAGTAACCTTCATCATTCCGCCAAAGCAGCATCAGTCCTTCCACTTGATGACAACTCAAATGGAACAATGAACCTGTATTTTAACCAAAAATTTAATTAATTCTAACTTAAAATTTTCTGAAAGAAAAATAGTAAAAGAAAAAGAACAAACTTGAAACTCAAGATGTTATATCAAATGACTGTTGATTCGTCAATTTACCATATTCCGCTCTCTTTAGCATCACAGCTTTCCAACAAAATCAAAAAAAAGCAGCTTACAACTAAGAAGAAATAAAGAATAAACTGAAAAAAAACTAACACAAATAAAACAAAATAAAAGTAAACTTTCCACAGGAAAAAAAAA